CCCAAATTTAAGAAATGGGAAAGGGCAGGTGTTACCACCTATACTTGGCTGAAAACCCCACACAGGGCTGCTCTGTGACTGACCTAGTTTCTACGCTATTTAAACAAAAATTATTTTTAAAAAAGGTAACACATTCCTACTTCTTTCTGAAAAATCCACAGAATAGAATATTGGCTGAAAAGAGAAGAGCCCAGAAGAAAGAGGAGTACAAAAGCATGCCTGCTTGTCTGTGTTCAACACAAAGAACATTAAATGAAAACAACTGGCAYGCTGCCAAATTCCTATACAGGCAAAGAGATTCAAATAAATTGATTTCACGCATCACACTGACCTGGGATCAGTGAGCAGTGGTACAATACACTTGCTGCTCCATGTGGGGCAAAGCCCATTAACGTTATCAGAGACACATTACATTGAGGGGGAGCAGGGAGGGGGACAGAGAGAAGGAACCCATACTCTGCAAATTCAGGAAAAAAAAACCACTTTGAAAAAGGAACTTGAACTGGAGTGCTTGGTTTCAGTTTACTAATAAATATATCATATTGCAAGAGCTTGTCCTCTGCTCACCTCAAAGATTTCAAAGATTGTATTTTTAAATGAAAATAAATACTAATGTCACACACACACACACACACACACACACACACACACACACTCCCCTTACATTCTACTTTTAACACAGTTGTTCTCAAACTCACTTATTCTCTGTAAATTTCCTCCTTTCCCCATCCGCCAGTGTTTTATATAGATTATGGGTTTTTTTTTTTGTACTTCAGAAGCTGGATCCCTGCCCAGGATACTCTTACTAGTTCAGAAGGCAAGCTGGAGAAATCGGTCACTGCTCTCAACTGGCCCAAACCAACCTGACCTAGAGAGAAAAATGCCTTATTTGCAAGGCAGCAACAAGCAGGGCATCAGTTCTCCTTGCGAAGTCACCCACACATGCTACAAACCAACCAGGGAGCTCTCTCCACATCTGTACTTCAAATTTTACTTTTTTAGGATGTGCAAAGTAACCCATGTTTGCCATGGAGTCCCCCTTTGTCATCTCRGCTTTGTTTTTCATTAAGCTCTGTCACACTCCAATCAAGAGCAATGCCAGCAACCACAGGTGTGCACCACATGAGCAGATGAAATCCTGATTGGAAGGACAATTCACTGYCTATAATACACTTGTACTCTTTTGCATCTGTGGTATGTAAGAAAGGGACTTTATTATTTTCACTGTGCTCCTTAAGATACATAGGGTAAGTAAACAATTGTTTTGAAGATAAAAAAGGAAAACCAAGACAAGATGACTTTGCAATAGCAAAACAAAGATGAGGATGCTTGAAAGGGGTCACATCAGCAGGTTAGTCATTGCTACAAAAGGCCATTGCTTCAAGGGGGCAGTAGACTCAAAACACCTKTTTTTTGCCTTTTATTCCATTTAGGTTTCAAATAGCAAGTCAAATCTTCCTGGGCACAGCAAAATCCCTATGAAGCTCAAACAGTGTTGGCTTCATCTCTACTGACTGAAATTTTAAAACAAAATCACTGAAAATGATTGGCCATTTAATATTAAAATTTTTGAGCATGTGACAAACAAATGTATCCTGATGTAGATACCTTACCCAGTCACCTCAATTCAAGTAAATGTCAAAATGGGAACAACCAAAGATCTAACAACTGTTAACCACCACTGATCACTCTCTAAAAGCTACAAGCAGTTTTCAATTCTTCATTACCAAGGTGAAAACTGTACAATATGATTAACTCTATAGTGTTATAGAGAGACGTGTTTATTTAGATATAAGGCTACAACTGATAGAACTGTACATGGAAGGGAATCACACAGTATAGAAAACTTCACAACGGCAGAGATGTGCCTGCACCCAGATGATACAGAGAGCCTGAGCTGCACAACAGGGAGCAAGAGGGATGAGGTGCTGTTCCCTCCTTTTTATGAATACTTCAGCAGTACCATCAGATCAGCTGGACTTKATAGAGATGATGTGAATTTTAGTAATATTAATTCCCTTTCTTTAAATGAATGGAATTAGAAAACAAGCCTTTCTCCCAAATTGTAGGAAATTTCCATTATCTTGCACGTGCTCTGACAGCAATAAACCACAATAAGCTTCCCATTAGTATGCCAGCTCTGCATGCTTCAGGCATGACATCTTTACTTTTACATTTATTTATTTTTAAAATCTTTTATGAAGACCCATATGGCAAAAGAAACCAACCAACAACCACCTGTACAGAATACATTTGCACTTTGAAAAATAAGACTGCAGATAGTAAAAAGAAGAAATTAGTCAGAAGCTATACACTGCTAATAAAAACACAAGAAGAAATCCTGCTAAGATTTTTCATTCTCTTCCAATGCTGCCTGAGTACAGGAACGTTCCACAGAAGCATTTACTTGTTTTAAGCTGAGCTAGGAACTCGAGTTAGAATGCAAATTCATTTTCATTAGGATTTAACTTTTTTAAAGCAKGTTCACACTGGTTCACAAGACCTCAGGCCTGGACCTTGTCACAAGGTGATGTGCAGAGGCTACTGCTAGCACTCTCAGCTGTTCTCCATCKCTCCACACCCCACCGCAAAAGTGAGCCACGATGTCTCAGGTGGGAAAACAAGTAATATGATCAAGGCTGAGCTACCTTTAAAACTATCCTGGACAAAGCCAAGAGTACTCAGACACTGTTCATCTTATTTTGGTATCATACTCTATCAAAGTTATGTCAAGCGATATGGTCCAACACTGAGAAAGTTATCCAAGTGTTGGAAAGCACTCAAAACCAGTTTAGCAGTCTCTTGCCATCCAGACACATCATTTTAGAAGAAAAAACGTAGTTACAGTAAAGACAGGAATGACTGTCGTAGGTTATCTAGAAATATCCAGCAGATTTACTTTTCTAGTACAGTAAAAATCTTTGCACACAAGAAGCAGAAATATCCATTCTCATTATCATCTCAATCAAATTTATCACAGATTCCCAATGCAATGAGTTTACCAGAGGGCTCTCACTGAATTACAAACAACTATTTCGGAAATACTATTCCAAATCATAGTTCAGAGAACTGAACTTCATTATTTCTGCAACCAAGCCAATAATATTTGCATGACACATAAAGAGCAACTATATCATCAAAAATACAAAAGGAGCCCCAAAGTTAGAAGGTTCATATTTAAGATTTTAGAAAAATCATCACTGATCAATTTTATTAGCATTGCAGTACTCTTTCTCACTGATATTAAACAAAGACAGCACCGTCATTGATTTAGTCAGGCTCTTTGGAGGCTAAAGGGGAAGACTTCTTTTTAATTACAGTTTACAAGGCAAGGTACAGTCATTATATACACAAGAATAACTTCTAAAAGGTATGCACATTATAAAATCAAATCAAATATTTTTCTGTTCCTTACCTTGACAAAATTCAAAGTTCCCTTTTTTCCGGCAGTCACCTATCACTAAACTCAGTGCTCTCCAAGTGTTTCTTTTGACAGATATCATTCTCCACCAATCGCTCTGCTAATTTCCTCTTTCCTTTTCTGACTGGGATAGATATTATGTTCACCAGCCCAGAGATCAATCTTTTCTATTGACAACAACAAATGAAAAAAAAAAGGAAGAAAAAAAAAAGCATATATCACAGCCAGTTTGAAGCACCACACCCCTTCATTTGCATGATAATAAGTAGTCTTTTAAATAAAAAGGGAAGACAGAAACATTATTCTAAACCAAGTAACCACATTTTCTTGGCGAATTTAAGGCAATACTTTAAATTTGTATTAATTCTTCAACAAGGCTGCTTCCTAACTGCTCAGTTAAAGCAGCTGACATATAGAAGGCAACTAATTAAGGGCAGACTATATTCTACCTGTTATTTAATTCTGTAAAAATGTCTGAGTTTAAATACATTCATATAATATAAAATACTACATACTTTACCTGGTTCAACAGAAGCTCTAGAGAATCATTTATTAAATCAACATGTTTACTAAAAATAGAGATTTTCCAATTTACACATCAGTATACTAATTTGGATTTCTAAGTCATAACAGCAAATGCATTTAAACAAAGAAAGGCAGATCAAAAAGCTATTSATATATTTACATCTTCCCACTTTTGAAAAGGCAATTTCCCTCCCACTCCAACACCTAAAAACCTGTTTATTTGGGTTACACAAATACTCTGCCGTTTGTATGAGTCTGTATTATGCTGTCAGTTTTTCCAAGACATTAATATGCTTTTCAAGCGTTCATAATTATGTCAAGACAGAAAGTTTTTTCAGAGCCAAGCACACACAGTTATGTACATGCTTCAATCTGCAACCACTATTCAAGTACTTCGGGACATAGAGTTAAGCATGCATAAGGATCCAGCCGCAGCTCATGCACCTAATCCAGAATCGAGCCCCAACCCTCTCCCGGAATAGATCTTTCTGCAAAAAAATGCATCGCCCAAGGGCATTTGCAGAAGATCACATTTGTGTTTGTGCTAGAAATTGCAATCTTTCCAACAAATAAATACCATTTTCAAATCAAAACAAACCTTCCCAAGTGAAAGTTAAGGTTACAGAACAACCAAGTTCAGCAAAATGAATCCTTTCTTTCCAGCGTTCGTGGTCGGACATATCCCTGCAGTTCTGAGAGAAGCCAAAATTCCACTGATTTCAGTGAAAACAAGTGGTAAGGACTGCAGGACTCTACCCAGAWTTTGGCAACTGTGGAGCTTTCAAAGTGGCACAACTGCCTCTGGCATTTGGAAAATAATCTCCAAAATGTGGTTAGGAATTCACAATTTGGGTACAATAACTACTTTTACAAAATTATTTTTCTTTTGTATGCAACTCTCTAGTTGCCACAAGTCGTTCTAACATAGGCAGTAAATTTACCTTTCAGTTGTGCCTTAGCATGAATTGTGTACTTTTCAATTGCCCAGAGTTTTGTATAACATTTTAAATTTCCATAAATACATACAGCATTCTCTGAATTGTTGTTATTGTTTGAGCTGATTTTTATGGTCATAAACCATGTCCCTACCAAAACTGAAAAATCCTCCATGGACCAAGTGGCTCTAATAATTTCACTAAGATAATTTAAACATTAAGTTTTCTACCAAGTGACAATAGCACAATCTGGTTGAAATACTGTCTTACAGTGGAATATTAAATTAACATCGTATCTTGGATTCTGAGTAACACAGCAGACATCTGTAAAGATGTATTCATGTTTTGTTAACCTTTACTAATTTGGCCACTAGAAACAGATATGGTCAAATACGTTAAACTATGTAACATATAAAAATTAAATGTTTCTGTCTGCCGAATAGCAAACTCTGTTTTCATAGTTGGTAAAAGATTTTAAACATCTTACTGTGGAAAAGGTCTTTAAAAAAAAAAAAACCTGTCATTTACTTTACAATGAAGAAATCAGTTCARTTTGCTACTCTTTCTTTGTTTCAGGCACATGTTAATTTTTTCTATCTGCCACGTTTTCTAAAGTGATGGATGCATTTTGCTATACCCATTCTACACTAATCTCCTTCTTTAAATGTATTTTTGCTTCCTGATTGTAAACTGCTGCTGCTGTTCAAATGTACATGCAAAACTGTCTAATGTCTGAACTACATCGAAAGCAGAATGCCTCAAACAATTTGTAGTCTTACAAGAGTGTTATAAAAAAGGATCAACATGTTGTATTACCATGGAAATTTTGAAAAACATACTTTCCCAAACAAATATTACTTTTTCTCAATGGTATGAAGTAATGAAAACCACATGTGTAAATCTGCGATCCATGCAGTAGTTCAAGCTGCAGCTAATAGAAAATACAGAGAGTGAACTCTGCCATATAAAGGATTCTTGTTACAGAAATATAATGTGAAAACCAGATGCAGACAGAAAACCTTAATCACAGATGGGAATGTAATCACTGGCATACAGAATACTTTTTTGATCAATCTCAACCATATGAGAAATGTATTTATTTTCTGAGGAATGCAATAACTCTAGAGAGTCTTCTATTTGAATTCAGTTAACCTCATATTCACAGTGCTTTTATCTTATATGTGTAGAGAAGGGGTATACAACCTGAGCCAAGATTTTYAGAACAGCCATTGGCCCTGGCAAATCATTCTTGTATCAGCTTATCTTTCAAGGAATTAATAGGATGTAAAGACTACAAATATCAGGATCAGCCTCAAATGAAATCAACCATTATTGTACTTCCTAGTTACTGCCAGAAATCCCTTCATCACCTAAGCACTTCCCCAGTTAAATTTTCCCTTTAATATGTGGTTCTTCAGAAATACAATGCTAAGAGCAAGCACAGTCGCACTGTAGTTCTGTGAAGCAGAACAGGAGTCCTACAGCAAAGAATCTCCCTCTTTCTAAAAGCTGAAGAGTCATTAACTCAAAACCAAGTTCACCTGGGGCTTGTTTCTAACTGCTGAAAGTCCTTGTGAATGCTCTCCACCGACACAGCTCCTGGAGGTTAGCAGGAAACAAAGGACTATAGCACAGAGCAGCTATCCAGCTACACCAAGTGTCTATACTGCTGATGCCTTCTACCAGCTATCCAGACCAAGGCAAGACCAAGATAACTCCTGACAGTTTTCACTGCTGGTGACACTCAGGCTGCTACAGTAGTAGGGAATACATCATGTACAATATGGACNNNAAAAAAAAAAAAAAAAAAAAAAAAAAAAAAAAAAAAAAAAAAAAAAAAAAAAAAAAAAAAAAAAAAAAAAAAAAAAAAAAAAAACCACACAACCAAAACCAAAAACCCCAATTTGTGCTAGGAAATAAAACTAAAGAAAGAAAAGGCACTCAGAGGTAAGAGGCTTCCAGGGTTTTGGGTATTAGCAGTGGCAGTTTTACTTCCTGGCAATCCCCAATCTCTGCTGCACCCAGCTCCTGGACATACCCAGTCTACCCAAGAATACACAGCACTCCCTGTCACAGTTCACAAATGAGCTTATTAAGGTAACCTAAAGTTAGTATGAATTTAATACAATTAACACAAACCACAATGATTTGGTAGCTGTTACACTGGGGCAGCAAGASGGTGACAAAAACTCATTGACAGGCATGGGGTAGGTAGATTCTCCCTCATAGCCTCTCGCTTACTCTCTTTTAGCCTCTAAGTCCATTTGCGATCATCTCCCTTTAGGTGCCTGCAGTAAGGGGACACAGTCACTTCAGTACCCTACCACAGGGCTCCCAGCAATGGCACATCACAGGTGTCCATCAAACTAACTCTGCTGAAGTTCCTGTAAAGGTGCTTTTTTAATTGAGTGCCTGCAATGCTACATCAGTTTTGAAATCTGCTACTTGTTTTTTTTTCCTCCCATACTAACAACTACCAAATCATTTGATGAAAACCCACCACTGCAACAAAACAGATTTTAAAGARCCTTGTCTCTTCTGAGATTTAACTTTAAATTTCTGAGACTGCAGCACTGATAGCGAAGAAGTCAACATTTAACACTAAAGTAATATGGCCTAGATATGCTTGTCTTATTTCTAAACAAGCATGCCTAGATTAATAATAAACTTTGGCCAGATATGTATTTTCATATGCAATTATTTTCATATAGCATCATCATAATGTGTGTGTGTAGAGTACTAAAAATGGAGTGAAATCTTCCAGCTGAAAACAGTTCCACGTGACAAAACAGAGGGATTCTGAAAACTCCTGCTTCATGTCATGTGCGARCGTGTGTGCCTGTGCCTTTCTTTTTTTCCTCTCATCTAATTTCATCTGTGAGAGACAGTCCCTAGAGGACAAGACAAGAGAGAACCAATTATATCCAGCGGTTGGTTTCTCCAAAATGAAGGCATCTGTTCCATGCCAACGACTTCCACATGGAAGAAAAACAGAACTTTGAAGGCATCTGTGTTCATGGTTGACAGTTGCAGATCTTAGGGTCTACTGTAATTGCCCAGCTGCAAACATGATTTGGTTGCTGCTGTTGTCAGCTGATCTCCTTGCACTGAAAAGAAGGGCGCTTAAATAGCAAATAGCTGGATAAAAATCAGATCTTCTTCCATAATACCAATACCTTTTCCCTTCTGAAAAAGGTATTTTTCCTGATACAATGGATTTGATGGAAGTAAATTGTAAAGTGGTTCTTAAACAAACATTTTACAAAATATTCTGCTTTAAAATGCTATTCTTTAGATAATGTACCAGTCTTAGCACAATGTGTTCATTATCTGCTAGTATGTCAGGCTGATATTTTGTAAGAGTGATTCAGAAACCAGTGTGATTCACCAGCTACATCATCCTGCAGCCCACCTTATTTAGCCAAGTAGTCTCAGTAAAATCAAGAGTACACCTGAGCAGAAGCTCAGAGTTTTCACTTCAAAAGCAAACGGCAGATAAGAAACTACTATGGTATTTATTACTCAACTCACATCACTTCCAATGTGAGTGAATACTTTCCAAAAGACACTTTATAGAAACATTACTGGTAATTCAAAATCTGGCTTACAGCACTGGRTGGCACATTTGCAGTGAGATATTCAGCAATGCTGTGCACCTTCACTGCTAAAAAAATCAAGCAAGCTGTTAACAAGAAGCTCATATGAAG